AGGGTCTCGCCGTAGTTCAGGCTGGCCTTGTACTCACTACGTAGCCCAGGCTGGCTTCAAACTCATGATGATCCCCAGCCTCAGCCTCCCGAGGGCTGAGATTACAGGTGTGAGACACCACCCTCAGCTACTGCGTGATTTTCTCTGCGTTTTCTTCCTTGTTGCAAGACCGGTGTCCCCTTCTGTAGACGTCACGTCCTCCTGCGGTGCTGCGGGCAGAGGCGTGGCACCTGTTCCCTTTGTGAGGAAGCCTCCCGGGCAGGCTTCTGCTCTTCTCCCATTACTTGGCCAGAGCCGCCTATAGCAGCTGCAAGGAAGGAAGACAAAAAAAGGAAGGAAGGGAGAGAGGAAAAAAGCAGTACTGGGTATCGTTCAGGGGTCCCTGTCTCTACAGTAGCAAGAAAAAAAAAAAAATTGAAATGCTGGATTAGTCGGCCTACGAGTTCTGCCACGGAATAGCAGTAAGGAAATCGAGAGGGATTCATAGGGACTATTAAGGACAACCTAATTTTTGTTTGTTTGTTTGGTTGTTTTGATACCGGCAGTTGAATTTGGGTCCTTGCACTTTCGAGGCAGGTGCTTGAATCACTTTGCTAAATCCCCAGCCCTTGTTCTGTTTTCTTTGGTAATAGGGATTAAACCCCAGGGCTTTTGCCCTGAGCTACCACCCCAATCTTATTTTTATTTGTTTATTTATTTTGGGTTTTTTAAATGTAGGTAAACATTGATTAGACAACATAATTAGTAAGTAGCACAAAAAAATCAGTAATATAATCGCTTAGTGAACTTAGTGAGATCCCAGATGTTTCAACTGCACTTTCCCAAGAGAGGTTCTCTTTAGGCAGATGAAACCAGACCCTGAAGGTATAATTAACTTTGTGGTCATTTGGCCAATTGAAATCCTTCAAAAATCAATTCCAGACTTGATTCTAGTACTAAGGGCCACTCTGAATGATGAGGGTAGAAAGTTCAACAGGCTTCTTGTCTTATTACAGGGAAAAGAATAACCCCTAAATGGTTCAGACAGTTCATATATATCAAATAGCCCTGATTTCAGTGAGGAGTCAGTTTCTAATCTTCATAATATACAACTTTTAGAACTAAAAGGACTAACTTCTCAAGTGATTATAGAGTAGCTGCTTTGTCTCGTTGTTGCTATTGTTGTTGTTGTTTTGGTGTTTTTGTTTTTGTTTTTGAGACAGGGTCTCACTATGTAGTTGAGATTGACCTGGAACTCACTATATAGCACAGGCTGGTCTCAAACTCACAGCGATCCTCCTGCCTCAGCCTTCGGAGTGCTGGGATTCCAGGCGTGCGCCCCCACACCTGGCTACAGTAGCTGCTTTGAATGTGGCTTTTCCATTAAAATGCCAGCTGCTCACCCTTGGAAGGTAAATTTTTTTTTCTTAAAACTTTTTAATAGTCAGTACACGTTTTCAGCCATTATGATTACATTCATTTTAGGGATAGAATGTAAATTCTTATTAAATAACGTAAGAGTTTTTAAAAGAACAAGTGAGAAAACAGGCTCCATGAAGAGGTTTTGTTCCCTGCTGTGTCTAAAGTATCGCTTGGGCAACAGGATCTGTTGAATGAATAATTATCACAGCTGATGTTGCTCAAATATTCAACAAAATCACAGCATTATAAAAATATGTTCTGGCTACAAGCATACTTAATACAGTAATAATAAAAATAGGTTTGGAGACAGTCTTATTTTAGGCAACTCAAGAGTTCAAAAGGAATTAAGAGGTAGCATTGATTCTGATATCTCTTTTCTCTCTAAGTCTGTGTATTAAGTTGTGAACCATGAGATATCTTTTCCTAAAAGTCCCCAATATAGAAAGTGAATTTTATCCAGGCATGGTGGTACACACCTGTAATCCCAGCCCTCGGGAGGCTGAGGCAGGAGGATCACTGTGAGTTCGAGACCAGCCTGGGCTACATAGTGAATTCCAGGTCAGTCTCAACTAAACTATGCATTGAGACCCTGTCTCAAAAAAACAAAAAACAAAAAAAAAATGTAAATTTTTAGAGCTGAAACATTGTGGGCTTATTATATGTCCTGTGTAGCTTTTGTTATTTATAGTCTATGCAGTCTTTCCTCAAAAATCTCTGCAGAATAAATTGCTTTTCAATGTATAATTATCTGACCTCATCATATGCCATATTATTTGTATCAAATTAAAAACTGACCGACCCTTAAAATATTAGACATTAATATATTTCTTAATATTCTAAACATTTGAGTACAAATACTTTTCTTTGTGAAGCCATTAGAAGTTTGAAAAGGTTTTATACATAAGCCAGTGGAGTTCTAAGAACTTAGCAATGTATAAGTGTGATCATTACTCATTTATTTGTTTGCAGGGAGTTCATGTGTTAAATGTGAGGACAGCCCCTTAGAATCTTGAAATTCTGCTGGGACACAAATCATATCTTCTTCATTTAAAAAAAATCCACGGTTGTCATCAGAATTCACTGCAGAAGCCAACTTCCTGGGACATCAGCAAACCAGGGAATAAGATACACGAAGAAAAACACCACCAGGTCGAAAAGGGTGGAAAGCCAGAGCTCCAGCCAGGAGGAGTCTTCGGGAAGTCTGCTGGACCCAGACTGCAACCCTGCACGATTCTGAGCCAGGGCCACGCCGCCCCCCTCCTGGGGACCCTGGCCACCCTCTGCCTCCATCTCGCTTTTGCCGCTGGGCGCTGCGTCCCCAGCGCCCGTGAGCGCCTGGGTCCCACATCCTGTGACTGTAGCCTGTTTTGAGGGTTTCGAGACAGGAGCTTGCTATCTAGTTTGGGCAGGCCTTGGACTCAAAGCAGTCCTCCTGCCTCACCCTCCGGCCGGTGGGATGCCAGGTGCTGGCTATTGAGGTTTAAGAGAGGTAAATTAATTTTCCCGAGGTCACAGGCTGAAAATGCTAAGGCGGAGATTCAAGCTCTGATTTCTATGTCTGTGCAGGGGGGATGAAGTAGGTCTCCCAAAACACAGGTGTTGATGCCCTAGTCCCGCAGTGTGAATGTATTTGGAGAAAAAGCCTATGAGGAGGTGAGAAAACTTAAAGGATCGGGGCTGTGGCACAGCCTGTGATCCTAGCTAGCACTCAGGAGGCTGACACAGGAGGATCCCCATGAGTTTGAGGCCAGCCTAGGCTACACAGTGAGCACAAGACCAGCCTGAATCACACTGCAAGACTCTGTCTCAAAACTACTAACTTAGATTTGTCACCTTGGCAAGGTCCTAACTCAAGAGCAGAATCACCTGTGCCCCCCCCATGTGTGTGTGTGTGTGTGTGTGTGTGTGTGTGTGTGTGTGTCATCCTGCCCAGCTCCCTTTTGCCGCATGCGTGTTCCTCGTCTGGTTTCTCCACCCATCTGAGAATGTCTCATGTCTCTGTCCCCAAATCAGGCCAGCACTTCTGTCTTCCCGCTTTGCTAAGGGCAGTTCTCTCCCTACCCTCCCTCTCCCAACTAGCACATCTATCTTCCTTCCTCAGAAGACTGGTGGGGGACTGGGCGGGACACTTTCTCCTGGACGCACAGGACCTCCTCTTGCAGCCTTGCTCAAGAAGTCTCCCTCATCCAGCATACCTGGAATAATCCCAGCGCCCTAGGAGGATGGAAAGTTTGAGTCCAACCTGGGCAATTGAAGCTATTTAGTGGAACCACTTCTCAAAATAAAAAATAAAACAAAGCACTGGGAATGTACCGCATAGTGAAGGTCCTGGATTCGATCCCTCGTCTCACACACACACGTGCACACACACAAAAGGGAAAAGGAAAGAAGGGGCTATTTTTCCAATGTGTGAGGGACCCGTTCTCGTTGTTGAAGACACAGCTTTTTTTTTCTTTTTTTGAGACAGGGTGTTGCTGTGTGGCCCAGGGTGGCTTCGAACTCGCGCTGGTGCTCCTGCCTCAGCCTCCCCACTGCCGGAACCACAGGCGTGAGCCCCTACAACTGGCTGGGACACAGTTCTGGGAAACCTGCGTGAAGATCGCCTCCTGCTGTGCGCCCTACTGGGCTACATCTTTCCACCGCTGCCGCGAGAGGTTTCACAGGGCCGGCCCTGGGGTCCTGACTGGGCGAACAAAGTGCGATTGAGCCTTCAGGGCAGGACGGAATCGGTTCCGCCCAAGGTGGTGTCGGAGGCCGGCCTGGAGCGCAGGGACCCACGGCGCCGCAGGAGAGCCCGCCCCGCCCCGAGCAGAGCCCACTAGGGGGCGGGGACTATTCCAGACACGCCCAAAGGATGGGCCACCGGAGGATACGCCCAGTAGGCGGGGCTCGTTGCTGGTCTGCCGAAGGGGCGGGGCCTCCCAGTGCGCACTCCCGGAAGCGTGGCCAAGCCACTCCTCCCGCTCCCCGGGAGGGGCGTTGCAGTTCCTGCCGACCGCTGCCGAGTCCGCCGTCGCCTCAGTCATGCCGGTGAGTGGCCCGCCGCTCGCCCTGATGCTGCGGCCGGGAGCGATTGCTCCTCTGCTTCCCCCTCGCCGCCCGTCCTCCGGCCTCTGTGACCCTCCAGAAAGCCAGAGCTGGGCTCCAGGATCCAAGGGGCAAGGCCTGCACGATCACGCGCCCCGAGCCTCCCTGCATATTTCGTGTGGGGAAACTGAGGCCCGCGGGGCGGCCGTTCCCCGGCCTTCC